CCCCAAACTGAGCTGAACCCCCCCGTGTGATGCAGGGAGCCCTCCAAGCGACGCTCCCAAAGGCATCAGCATCTTCTGGAGATGCTTCTGTCCTTCTTGGACAGCCTGGACCTAGATTGGGCTCATGGTGCATGGGGTGGCTGAGAATGACCCCCGCAGCCCAGTGAAGCCCTAAGCTTGCTTTTGGGGAGCATCACAGCATGTCCTGGCTGGTGCGGATGGGGGAGCAGCTCCATGCTCCCCAGCACTGCTTGGCTGGAGATGCCCTTCACCGTGGCCTCTGTCCCATGGCAGCCAGGCCATCCGGGAGCTGCAGGATGAGGTGTGGCGGCTGCGGCTGCGGCTGGAGGAGAGCCTGCGGCATTCCCACGGCTATCCCAAGGGAAAAGCCACCCCACGTGTCACCCTGGGCAGGAGGCAGCCGGTGACCAGTGCACCATCATCCGCCAAGGACACAGCACCTGTGGGGTAGGTGGCTGAAGGGACCCTGAGCTGGGTGGGAGGGTGGCAGCACCATAGCCTACGGGTGTGGGAACACTCCCATCCCATCCCCATCCCATCCCCATCCCATCCCATCCCATCCCTGCTGTGACTATGCAGAGGTTGAGCTGGGGGTGGTGGGCTGGGGGGATGATGCCTATGGGAGCACTGTGGTGTCTATGTGGTGACAGCAGCTCTGTCCCCTCCACAGGGAGCTGAGCCCCCCGGTGAGGGGCAGGGTGGCCCCCAGGGTGGCCCCCACAAGGAGGGGGAGGTCGGTGTCACTGCCACGGGACAGGCCAGAGCTGGACCTCAGTAAGTGGGACCCCACCAGCGTGGGGACAGTGTCCCAATGGGAGCATGGGGCTGGTGGGGCTGCAGGTCCTGGTGGCCCCCTGGGACCTGGTACCTGTGGGGCACTGGATTCCACCCTGCTCCCCTTTCGTTCACCCCAGCCTCCGAGTCAGACCCCTCTCCCACTGGACCCCGGGTCACCCCCTCCCCATGGAAGACCCCCCGGAGCCCCCCAGATGCGGTGACATTCTGGGGACAGCACACAGGTGGGTGTCACTGTGCTCAGCACTGGGGACTCAGGGTGTTCACCACCACACCGGGGTGCTCGCCGCCACACCGGGGTGCTCACGCTGTGTTTTGGCAGGGACACGGCACCAGGCAGGGGTGCCAGGAGCCAGCACAGCACCGTGGGAAGAGCCACGCACCCCTGAGTGCCCCCGGTGCCGCCGGAGCAGGGCTCCATTGGGTGAGTGACCCTGGAGCAGCCCCCAGCCCCTCCTGCCCTTCCCTAATGCAGCTCATGGAGCTGCTGATGACTTTAAATCATAGAATCACAGAATCCCAGCCTGGTTTGAGTTGAAGGAACCTTGAAGCTCCTCCAGCTCCAACCCCTGCCACAGGCAGGGACCCCTTCCACTGGAGCAGCTTGCTCCAAGCCCCTGTGTCCAACCTGGCCTTGAGCACTGCCAGGGATGGGGCAGCCACAGCTTCTCTGGGCACCCTGTGCCAGCGCCTCAGCACCCTCACAGGGAAGAGCTTCTGCCTTATCTCCAACCTGAACTTCCCCTGTTTCAGTTTGAACCCATCACCCCTTGTCCTATCGCTGCAGTCCCTGATGCAGAGCCCCTCTCCAGCATCCTTGTAGCCCCCTTCAGACACTGGAAGCTGCTCTGAGGTCTCCACACAGCTTCTCTTCTCCAGGCTCAACAGCCCCAGTGTTCTCAGCCTGGCTCCATACAGGAGCTGCTCCAGCCCCTGAGCATCCTCATGGCCTCCTCTGGACTTGCTCCAGCAGCTCCATGTCCTTATGCTGGAGACACCAGACCTGCACACAGTGCTGCAAGTGGGGTCTCAATTCATTAATTGAATTAATCCCTTCATTCATTCATTAGAGGTTCAGGAGCTGTGAGCCCACTCCCCATGGTCCGGGGCTCTCCCCACTCCTTGCTGCAGGCACTGGGAGCAGTGGGAACCTGTCCCAGGCCCTGTCCTTCAGCTGAAGGTTGTGGATGGCAGCACAGAGCCGGGCATTGCTGTGTCCCGTGGCTGCCTGGAGCTGAGCTCAGTGCATGCAGAGGGCTTTGCTGAGCCCCCTATTTTGCAGACCACCCCCCCCCCCCCCATTGCAGCTTGCAGGGGAAGGCTCTCTCCCCTGCCCCAGCTGCTCCTCCAGATGGTCTGCACCTCCCAAACCCCCTTGCTTGGTCTGTGGGGACATTCCTGGGCACACTGGCTCCTCTCTCCACAGCAGCACAGGCAGGTGATGCTGCGAGGCAGCCCCAGCACAGCACCCCGAGGAGGACATGCTGCCCTGCCTGCCAGGCACCCATGGGTGCCCCTTCATCTGATGGAGCCGTGCACGGTGGGTGACACGGGTGACACATGGCTTGTCCCTGCAATAGGGATGGGGTGTGGGGAGCAGGGATCACCCCTCAGACCCTTGGCACAGCACTGGCAGATTGCTTGGGGACAGAAGTGCTCCCCATGGGGCTCGTTTGTTCCCACCCAACCCAATGTGGCACTTGGGGGGCTCACATGGGGACATCGAACACCCCTGGGGGCATCTAACCACCTTCTCCCTACAGCAGAGCACGGCCCTGGTGCCACATCATCCCCAGGCTCCCACACTGGTCCCCGAGCCCAGAAGCTGGAGCAAGCTGGACTTTGGTACTTGGCCAGCCCCGGTGCCAGCGCTGCCATCAGCTGCCTGGCGCCAGTCCCCATCGTGCCTTATGCACCCTCTGTACTGTAAGGATGCTTTGGGGTGTGGGGGGGGACCAGGGTGAGGTCTAGGGTGAACCCCAGAGGGGCTGTGTACCTGGAATGGGTCATGCAGCCCCTGGCTCCGTTCAGGGTGGAGGGGGGACACGGGACTGCATGGGGTTGAGTATATGGAGGTGGGTGCTGGGGGTTGAAGATGTGTGAGATGGGGGAGAGGGATGAGAAACAAGGCAAAGGGGGGGCACAGGGAGCCCTGTGGGGGCACAACCCATGGAGCAAACCCAACCCCTTGTCCTCTTCTTCTTTGCAGCTACTGCTCCCCAGTGGTACCTACCTCACCCCACACTGTGGGGCAGTGTGGGGCAGAGCATCACCCCCATTCCCCTGCTGCTGGTCCCCACCGCTGCCTCCCACTGGAACTGGAGGAGCTGAACTGGTCCCTGAGCAGGGCCATGGCTGCTGCCCGGAGCGTGAGGGTCACCACCACCCGCATGAGCCGGGTGCTAGCGGCTGAGCTGAGCCAGGCACGGGGCCTGCGCCACTCCTGCCTCTTCTGAGCATCCTGCAGCGCCTCCTGCCCCTGCAGAAGGAGGAGGAGGATGGTGTCCCCTTCATCAGCATCCCTGCATGGCATGCTCCCTGCCACAGCTGGGGGCACTGGGGCTGGAGGCATCGCCGTGGGATCCTGGCTCCCATCTCCATCCTGCTTGCCTTAGACCTCCTGCATCACTTTGTCCATCTGTGCGCTTTCAGGACCAGCCACGCTGCAAGAGTTGAGGCAAGAGGTCCCCTGAGAGCTGCAGCATCCCATGGGATACAGCCCCACTGGGATCACACCATCCCATGGCACCAGTGGGGTGACCCCATGTCCCCCAGGGCAGACACCCTCCCTGAGAGGAGCTGCTCTGACATTGTGTAGGTCCTACCACAACACAGCCCCCAGCGGCAGCTGTGTTTACCTCTCCATAGGCAGAAATACATGCAATTCCCTAAGTGAGCCCCTTTCCCAGGCTTTAGGCTCTTTTGGGGGGGTCATACGCAGGCTTTGGTCTGGATGCCCCTCTCCACCCTCTGCTCTGCCCTTGGGGCTTGAACCCAGCTGGGTTTTCCCTGGAAAAATGTTTCTTTTTGTGATTTTATGTGGATTTTTTCTCCTTTAAGGTAGCTAGAACCAGCTCCATCACTCGGTAAGGGCTGATTGATGGTATAGCATGTGTGTGTGTATGTATATGTACCTATATAGAGATACAGGATGTCTAGATATGTATCTGTAGATATATCCAGATATGTGTCTATATAGTATATACAGATATGTTTCTGTATATAGCTATAGTATATATAGATATGTATCTAGAGCTACAGTATATATAGATATGCATCTATATATAGATACATATATACGTGTTCTGATTTTAATTTCAAGCATAATCCTTAGGGCATTTTTACGGGGTGTTTTTGGCCGCTCCTGGATGTGGCCACCCCCCCGTCTCATCCTGACAGAAACTGAGAAGGATTTGGGCTGTTCCTTGGCATTCCCAAGGGATCTGGGCTGCTGGAGCTGAAAACCACCCTGTGGGACCCACGCAGGGGCAGGATTGAGCCCAGCCAATCCCCCTGCTCCATCCTGAGCATCCCAGCCTGCAGGAGCCCCTGGCTTTGTTTATAGGTAGGACCTACCTGAAGTGCCCATGGTTGTGTTTTACTGTGGCTGTACAAAGCCCCCCCTTTGGAGGGGGGGGGATCACAAATGCCCCCCATGAGTTACTCGGGTTTAGAGCCTCTCCAAAGCCACTGAGCCCAGACCTTGCAACCAGCCCAGGTTGTGGTGATGGGCTGGGAATGGGGGTTCCCAATACTGTGGTTTGGGGTGGAGGGGGAGGGAATTGGGGCACACAGAGGGGCTTTTAAAGAGGGTTTCTATGTCTTTGGTTGCATCTGCTCATCCCTATGTCCCAAGTGTCCCAGCTGGGAAGCACACAGGGCCCATGCAGCCATATCCAGCTCTCCCAAAGGCACCAGCCAGGAGCAAAGATGATGTTTTTTAGCGTATCTCTGATTTTGTAAGGCCAAGCAGAGCCCTTTGGCTGCTATTTTGTACTGAGAGAATCACCTATTTTTGAACAAAATAAAGGCAGTTGGTTGCTTTGCGGCTTTGCCTTCCTTTCCCAAACCACTTCTTGGGCCAATTTCAGCATCACCGCACCAGGATCCTTCCCTTTGGAAGCGTTTGGGGGCGGGAGAGGAGATTTCCCTATCCCCTGAGCAAGCAGCACAGCACAGGCAGGTTGCACTAGGGATGGAGATCGCTTTTATTGAGTCACTCGAGTGCTTTAGTACAGAAGAACAGATATACAGAGATGATACATGTTTGTGCTTCAACACTTTCCAACATTTAGATTCCAGTAATTCCAAGGTAAACAAGGTCCAAGACAGACTAGATTCTTTTTTTTTTTTAAGTTTTCCTTTTTGATAAATTATTTTTTATATAAATAACTGTTAACAGAAAAAATAATAATAATAATAATGTCCAACATACAAGATCCTGAAGCATTTGCATTGCTAAAACCAAGGAACTCAAACAGGGCGGGAGGACCAAGGAGGAACCAACAAAGATCAGTGCAATGATACAGCCTTTGCCCTAAAAATATATATTTAACTTTATGGGCAAGGAATAGATGGGGAAGGAAAGGGGTTGAGGGGGGGGAACCACCAACGAGGCAAGAAAGAGAGATTTAAGGGAAGGAAAAGGGGGGTCACAGCCTTCAAGAACAAAACGATGGACCCCAAAATATTGCAGTGCACCTAACGGCAAGGGAAAAGGGAGGGGGGGGCAATAAAAACCAACTAAAAACCCGAGGTTTGGGTAAATCACTATACACCAAGCTTGTAAGAACATCACAGACACAGTCATTAATATACACAGAGTCTGGGGTGGGGGCCTCGGGGTGACGGCACGCTCAGGGATGCTTCATTCACCACGGGATGACACAAGGAGCCGGGCATGGGAGCGCCGACTTCCATGGGGATGGATGGAGAGGGAGATATATATGTAAAGATCCAGGGGTTCTGTCATATATATCTCTCTCTTTCTATATATATAGAGACCCAGAGAAGGGGGGGCTGCAGCAGGGCAGAGGAGCAGCCATACAAGCAAAACAGGCCCCATCTCCAGGTTTTGACCATTTTGGTCCCTTTTCACATGGGAATTGCCACAGCGTGAAGCATCTCGGGTGCAGCCTGATTACCCCCCCCCTTCCCCTCCATGCCAGATGTTGGCGTGCACATCTGGCAGGAGCACCCACCACCCCATAACAGGAAGAGCCCAGCCTTGCACAGAGGCTGGAGCCATGGGGGGGGGGGGGTGTTCAGCCATTATCCATCCACATGGAACCACATTCCCTGGAGGAGCGTTGGGAAAAAGGCCAGCAATGGGCTGATGGAGCACTCAGTGATGAGCCCCTGGGTGCTCCCAATAGCTGCAGCTACAAATAGAGAGAGAATTTGTGTTCTTTTCCTCTTTTCAACGCAACGCATCGGGTTTAATGTGTTCCTTTTGGGCTGTTGTCCCCTCCCTGTGGATAAAATGAGATTGGGAAAGCGCTGGGAGGGGAATAAGGGGGGGAATCAACACAAGAACAAGATCAAAAGCCGGGCCGGGGCCAGGGCCGGGTGCTGCTTGCACCCAGGGGGAAGGTTGGATTCGGCATCGAGTGGTGGCGGCGGCAGCGCTTCCTTTTAACTGCTGCTTTCCTCCTCTGTCTTATTGAGCTTCTTCAGCGTGTCCAGCAGTTTCTGTGGGGTGAGGATGTGCGTGGACCCTGCGGGGCAGAAGAAACGGAGCGGGAGCATCAGTGATGGCTTTGGGATGCTCCAGTGATGCTGTCCCCGGTTCATGTCCGTGCTGTCCCCGTTCCCGTTCCCCCACCCCGCCAAGCGAGGCCTTACCTGGTGGCCACAGCCCCGCACGCCAGTGGAAATGCTTGCGAGGAAATGTGTTGGGAAGGGTATAATGGGAAAGGAATGGAAAAGGAGACGTGGCAGAGGTGTATGGAGCAGGGTGGGATGAGGCAGGGGGTGACTGTGAAGCAGGGTTATGGTCAGTGGGGACGCTCCTGGACACTTTGGGGATGCCAAAAAGCCACAAGGGATGAGGGCAGGCAGCATGTACGGATCTTCTCCAGCCCCCAGGCTCTTCCCCTGCCTGCACAGAGCATCCTTGGGTCAAAAGGGTGGCTGGGAAGGGGATGGGTGGGAGAGGAGGAGGTAAAGGGCTCCTGCCTTCCGCTGCCCTTGCAGCCTGCCTGGATGCGTGCACACCAGCACATGGCTCATGGGAATGCCATGATGGGCCTCACCGGCAGCCTTGGAAAAGGGACCACAAGAGCAAACCTGAACTTTCCCATCAGGATTTCAGCCCCATCACACCCTGGAGCTGGGAGGAGGGGGGTCAACGGCAGCACCCAGTTGTTGCTGGAAGGGATGAGTGGGGCTGGAGCCAGCACAAGCACCGGGCACTGAACCTCCAGCCCCAGTGCTGGATGTGGGATGTGGGCAGCATCCCGGGATGCTCCGTTCCCCCTGCCTGACCCTGCGATGCTGCTGCTGGACCCTGACCCACCACCCCCAGCCCCTCCAGCCCTGGCAAAGGGGGAGCTCATGGCATGAAGGAGCCAGCCAGGACTGGCCAAGAGACATGGCAGAGGGATGATGGAGCGGCGCTGGATGCTTTTCCCCCTGATAGGAGGAACTTGCAAGCATTTTCCTATCGGAGAACCGAACAAATGAACCCCCCAGTAATAATAATTAAAGAAAGGAGGAAGAATCAAAGAAAACCCTTCAGGGAGGAAGAGTTTCTTTTTCATCAGTAAGCTGCCTTTACTTGGTTTCTCTGGCTCACTCCATTGCTGGAGCCTGATCCTCAAATGATACCCTAGTGGAGTCCCTGAAGTCGGGGTGCCTCAGGTCCATGAGAAATTTGGTGGGAGTGAGAATGTGAGTAGAACCTGCAGGAGAACAGAGCGGGGCTGACGGCTGCGCCCGGGCCCCCCCACACCCTGCAATGGCGTGAGGAGAGGAAGGACGCGGCTGCCACCCGGAGCATCGCAGGCGCATGCAGGGGATGGTCCCCGGAGAGAGGCAGGATGTGATGGGCAGCGGTGCTGGGCCCCGGGGGCTGCGGGAGGTGATGGAGAGGGGGCTGCTGCTCCCAAGGGAATACAAGGAGCGGGATGAGCTGCTGGCAAGAGGCTCTGCACCTCTGAGGTGGTGAGGGGCTCCTGCCCTACAAGATGTGTATCCAGCCGTGCTTCCCTGGTGGGATTTTAAGGGACCTAAAGCTCCTTGCTAACACCATGTCCTCCATGCCTGACCCACGGCTCCTCCAGGAGCTGAACACACATCCTGTCACACAGCTGTTGCAATGTGTGCTATGGGAAAACGCACCTCCTGATGCAGCGTGTGTGCAACCCAAAAATGCATCTCCTGTTGCCCACTGGTCACTGCGTGCAGTTGCACACCTCTACTGCGTGTTTCCTCCCTGTAACAACCCCACTGCCGATGGTGCAATGGGGCTGACAGGAGCAATTCAAGCTGCAAAACCTCCTTCCCATTCACCCAGCTCTGCTTGACCAAAACCAGCCGGGGAGAGGAAAACTGGGAGCCAAGGCAGTCCCTGGGGACAGAGGGGCGACACCGGGCGGCAGGAGGAACCCTTTCCACAGCATTCCAGCTCCCAGGGTGCTGTGGAGGCAGGAACAGGCGGGATGGAGGAGGTGGGATGAGCAGCCAGCCCGGCGGGCGCGGGGACAGGGCCCCACTCACCTATTAGCACTTCCCACTTGCCACTGGCTTGTGTCACCTCGTAGGCGCAGCGCATCTCGTTCATGCTCACACCGCCCAGGATGAAGATGATGAGGCGGGGACCACTCCGGTACTCGCCAGGGGCCTTGTTCTTGTGCCAGTGGCCATAGCGGGCACTAAAGAGAGGAAGAGGAGGGTGAAGGATGGGCATTAAGCATCCTAGAAACGCAGGACCCCCAGAGCACAGGCAGCAGCTCAGGGAGGGGATCCTGCCCCTCTGCTATGTGAAGGGGAGACCCCCCCTGCAGCCCTGATCCAGCTCTGGGGCACCAGCAAAAGAGGGACGTGGAGCTGTTGGAGCGAGGCCAGAGGAGGCCATGGAGATGCTGCGAGGGCTGGAGCAGCTCTGCTCTGGAGCCAGGCTGAGAGAGCTGGGCTGGGGCAGCCTGGAGAAGAGAAGGCTCCTGAAGGGGAGACCTTAGAGCAGCTCCAGTGCCTAAAGGGGCTGCAGGAAACCTGGAGAGGGGCTTGGGACAAGGGCCTGTAGGGACAGGCCAAGGGGAATGGCTTGAACCTGCCCGAGGGGAGACTGAGCTGAGCTCTTAGGCAGAAGCTCTTCCCTGTGAGGGTGCTGAGGCGCTGGCACAGGGTGCCCAGAGAAGCTGTGGCTGCCCCATCCCTGGCAGTGCTCAAGGCCAGGTTGGACACAGGGGCTTGGAGCAAGCTGCTCCAGTGGAAGGGGTCCCTGCCTGTGGCAGGGGTTGGAGCTGGAGGAGCTTTAAGGTCCCTTCCAACACAAACCAGGCTGGGATCCTATGGTTATGTCCCATGCTGCTGTCAGAGCAAGTTCAGCCACGAGTGCTGCTGCAGAGAGGGAAACCGAGGCAGAGGATGCCTGAATGACGGCAGAGCAGCTCGCAGGCGCACAGATGAGGGCTGGATGCTGTCAGTGATGCAGGGATCTGTGTCTGGGAGCGGGGGGTTCGGTACCCACCTGACAGCAGTGGTGCTGAAGGAGGCGGAGGAGCGGGTGGAGATGTACGGGTAGTGCTTGGTGTCCAGCTTGTCATCGATGGCATCCTGCGGGCAGAGAGATGGGGTCAGCGAGGGGCAGGCACAAACCCAAGAGGCCCCCCATAGGGCTGCACCCAATAGGATTGGCCCATTTAGGTCAGGATTCATCTGCATATATTTGCATAGGCTGAATTAATGGGACAATTTGCCTGCGCTCCAGTCATAGGGAGCACTTAGGGCGACAAGGGTGATGTGATGCTGTGGGGCAGCACAGCCTGCAGCACAGGGTAGGATTCCCCCCCCGGGTAAGGGCCCTGCTCCTGCTTTACTCAGTGGTGATGATGCAGCTGGTGAGATGCTGCTGCCTTCTGCAGTCCCCTCTGGTCCTGGGGATGAGATTTAGGGACTCCCTGGGCAAGAAGCCACCCCCAAAGGGCTTCCAGGTGAGCTTTTATGGGCTTGTGGGAATTGCTGGAGCTGCAGCTCTGCTTGGTGGTGGTGCCTTGGAGCAGAGGTGGCACTGACTGCATTGATGGCCCCTTCCCTATAGGGGGCCTATAGGGATGCTGGGGATGGACTCTTCATTAGGGACTGTAGTGATAGGACAAGGGGTAATGGGTTAAAACTTAAACAGGGGAAGTTTAGATTGGATATAAGGTGGAAGTTCTTTACTGTAAGGGTGCTGAGGCACTGGAATGGGTTTCCCAGGGAGGTTGTGAATGCTCCATCCCTGGCAGTGTTCAAGGCCAGGTTGGACGAGGCCTTGGGTGACCTGGTTTAGTGTGAGGTGTCCCTGCCCATGGCAGGGGGGTTGGAACTGGATGATCTTAAGGTCCTTTCCAACCCAAACTATTCTGTGATTCTGTGATTCTATTCTATTCCCCAAATGTGGCTTCAGGGTCTGTGTCTGAGCAAGTGGGATCTGTCCGTGCTGGGGAGCAGCTCTGGTGCCTGGGGTCCCCGGCCATATCCAGGGGCAGCTCCTGATGGGGCCATGCCTGTCCCCTGGCTTGGCTGGGACACACCTGTGATAAGGCCTCCCAACCGCGCCCATCACGGCCACAAGCAGCAAACAGGGCATGGAGCAGGGTGCCCAGAGAAGCTGTGGCTGCCCCATCCCTGGCAGTGCTCAAGGCCAGGTTGGACACAGGGGCTTGGAGCAAGCTGCTCCAGTGGAAGGGGTCCCTGCCCGTGGCAGGGGTTGGAGCTGGAGGAGCTTTAGGGTCCCTTCCAACACAAACCAGTCTGACTCCATGGAGAGGTCATGGTCCTCTGCAGCCCCTTCCCAGGCAGTGCTGGTGCTCCTGCTCCATCCCTGTCCTTGCTGCTCACCTCCATGATGTCCTTGATGACCGGGGTCCATCGGGACAGCTGGTAGGTCTGCTCACTGATCCGCTCCTTCCGCTCGGGCTTGCTCCGGCGGCGCAGGGTGGACTGGGCAGAGGGAGAGCACAGACACCCTGAGACTGGTGCGGGAGCTCACAGGGATGCTGGGGGTATCCCATAGGATAGGCACACCCCAAAGCACGCTGGGTGCTGCGCAAGGAGGACCATGGGCATTGGGAGGCGGACACTCACGTCTGTGATGATGGGCACCCCGAGGTGGGCCATGTTGGTGATGATCTCGCTGTCCTCAGCTGGGATCTGAGCGTGCTGGATCAGCTTGTTCAGGTTCTCCTCAGTGATACCTGGACATGAAACAGGGAGATAGTGTCCTCCTGAGAAATGCCTCCCCATGAGGGACACAGCCCCTCCATTGCCACCCAGCACAGTGGGACCGGTGGTGGTGGGGGATATGGGGCTTCTCCCTCCAGCATAAGCCTTCTAAAGGGTGACAGAAGCTTTTCCACGTGGCTTATGTTGGCTGAACCCTGAGCTGTTCGCCACCACTGCCCCTGTGTCCTCCTCACCGTTCTTCAGGAAGATGTAGAGCAAGATGATGCGGATCTTGTCATAGGTGCTGACATTCCCATCCAACAGGATGGGGACAATGGCCCTCATGGGGTCCTTGATCTTCTCCCCTTCCGCATCGGTGCCCATGGCCAGGTCCTGCAGATAACACACAGCATCCCTCAACCCACGGCTCAGTGCTGAGCTGTGGGGCAGGAGCTGCCAGCTCCAGCTGTCCCCAATGGGGATGTGGGGCCGGTGGTACCTGTTCGACTCGGCACAGCTTGTCCACCGTGCCCTGGTAGTGCTTCATGCAGTCCTCAGCCAGGTGAAGGTGGGTTGAGTACTGGGGAGACACCAGTGCTGCGGTCACCACCAGCGAAGGGTCCCTGTGCCACCACCCCAAGCCCCTGCTTATGGCCAGGGACCCTGCTCCATAGACGGGCTCTCTGCATGGACATCCCACCCTCCTCGTACCTTGCTGAGCTCCTTCTGGTACTGCGGCATCTTCTTCAGCATCTGGGACAGGTCTCTCATGGTAGTCTGCAAGGGAAGGAGCCACGGTCACTCACCCTGGGGGACCAGGAGCAGGCAGGGGGTGAGCTGGCATTGGCAGCTCTGCAAACTGCAGTGATGGGGGGAGAAACCCCCTGAGGACCCTCCTCTGCCCCCCAGGTGCGCTTGGTTGAGGCTGAGATGGAGCTTCCAGCTTCTGGCCACGTTTACATCCTGTTTCCACCACGGCCCCCTCATTGCCACCAGCTCAGGGAACCAGAGGCCCCCATACCAGGGGCAAACTGACCCCAAAGTCACCCCCTTTTTCCAAGCCTAGGACCCCAGAGCCATCTCCCCCCATCAGGAGACCTGAGCACCCTTTGCGGAGGTCCCCATCGAGTGTCCCCCATGCCCGTCCCCAGCCTGGCGGATGCAGTTGTCACCTTATCGCCTGTGTTCATCCTCTTGCTGGAAGAAAACTCCTTCAGGGAGCGGGTCACCTCCCTGGGGAGAGGAGGACAGCGCTGTCAGGGAGCAGGGACACCAACAGGGCTGCGTGGCAATGCCAGCAAGCAGGGACACTCACTGGGACACCTCGGCGATGTGCTTATGGCGCAGGGTGACCCACAGGTCGTCATCCTCATCCAGGAGAACCTCCTTAATCCGGGCTTCCCCAATGCCACTGGTCTCGTACCTGGGAAGAGGACAGGGAGCATCACAGTGGGGTCTGTAGGGATGCGATGTCCCCTTGGTGCCTGGGTTTGAAGGAGGTGGGGGACCAGGGTGCCCAGAGAAGCTGTGGCTGCCCCATCCCTGGCAGTGTTCAAGGCCAGGTTGGACACAGGGGCTTGGAGCAAGCTGCTCCAGTGGAAGGGGTCCCTGCCCATGGTAGGGGTTGGAGCTGGAGGAGCTTTAAGGTCCCTCCCAACCCAAACCAGGCTGGGATTCTATGACATGGGGCTCTTCTCGGCTCTGCCAGAAGCGGGGTGAAGTTGATTCAACTTCTCCCCTTCACCTGCTAAACGCTGTGAAGAAGCCATGGGTTGAAGGCAAGGAAAGCCCCTTTTGCATCACTGCTGCCCACCATTCCCTGCCACACTGCAGGTGGGAATGGTTTCTCTCAGCCAATGGCTTGTGATGGATGGAGGGATGAGCATCCTGCTGCCGCTCATGCCCTGGGTGGGACCATGGGGACTTTGGGGCCAGCAGCACCGCACTCACTTGTAGACATCATTCTCGATGGGCAGCAGGTCGTAGCTCATGGCTTGGAAAGTCAGTTCATGGAGCACCGGGGATGCAGGGTCAAAGCCACGGTCCAGGATGAGAAGCTGGGAACGAGCCTTGTCTGGACCCTGCAGAATGGGGGGAACCATCAGCAGTGGGGCCAGGGGCTACTCCAGCCCCAAGGCAGTTGCCAGGGACACTTTTGGGTCCCCACTTGGGGTCTGTGACTGCGACTGGGAGCTCCAGTGGGACTTTAGGAGTGAAGCATCACCCAAGCATCCTCCCCTCATCCCCGCTCACCTCGCCCATGGTGGGGTCATCAGCTTTGTAAGCATCCAGCTTGTCCTGGATGAGCTGTGCCAGCATGGCGTTGTCCTTGTAATCCCTGCGGGAAGCAGAGGGAGAGGTCAGCTCCCCAGGGCAGTGGCATGGGATGGGGAGGAGCTGCTGGTTTCCCTTTGCCATGGGAGAGGAGGCACCTCAGCAAGTTTTGTTGCCTATTCCCACCTCCCCTTGGAGTGCTCCACTTGGATTTCAGGATCCCAACCCATCTCCCAGAGCATCCTGTAGCACTCTGAGCACTGCATCCATCCCCATCTCCTCCATCCCCACACCGTCCTCAGCCACATCCATGTCCCATGCTCAGCATGGCCCCAGGTGGGGATGAGGATGTGTCCCCATGTCCATAGGGGGTGCAGTGGGTGCTGTCCTTACCCCCGGTACCGCACGGCCGGGTACTCCTTCAGCGTGGCGCAGAGCGTGGCGATCTGCTCCGCCAGGCGCTCCAGGATCGGGTTCTTCATCTGCGCCTTGTGGGGGCTGTAGAAGCTCTGGAAGGAGTCAGCTGAATCCAGGGAGTAAACCTGGGGGAGCAGCGGGAGCGGGGTCAGAGCGGGGGAGCAGCGCCGGTGGGTTTGGGCACTGGATTTAACCCCAGCTGAGCTCAGTGATGCTCGGAGCATCCTTTGGGCTTTCTGTGGTCCCCGGTGTCTTCCCCAGCATGGTCCTTACCCCCATGCAGGGTGAGCAGAGGCAGTCCTGCAGCAGTCGTTTGCCCCAAGTAGGGGCAGAGAGCTGGGGACACGCTGCTCCCCTGGTAAAGACCAGAAGCCGGTTTGGCTGTGTGTGGAGACCACAGAACCACAGAACCAATGGGGCTGGAAAAGCCCTTTAAGCTCATCCAGTCCAACCGTTCCCAGCACTGCCAAGGCCACCCCTAACCCATGGCACTGAGGCCTCGTCTCCACGCTGTGTGAACACTTGCAGGGACGGTGCCTGCAGCCCTGCCCTGGGCAGCCTGTTCCAATGCCTGAGCACCCTCTGGGGCAGGAATTGTTCCTCAGCTCCATCTAAACCTGCCCTGGTGCAGCTTGAGGCCGGTTCCTCTTGTCCCGTCCCTTGTTCCTTGGGAGCAGAGCCCAGCCCCTCCTGGCTCCATCCTCCTGTCAGGCAGTTGGAGGCAGCCATCAGGTCCCCCCTGAGCCTTCTCTTCTCCAGACTGAACCCCCCAGGTCCCTCAGCCCTTCCCCATCACACTTGTGCTCCAGGCCCTGCACCAGCTCCATTGCCCTTCTCTGGCCCCGCTCCAGCCCCTCAATGTCTCTCTTGCAGTGAGGGGTCCAGAACTGGACATGCCAAGAGCTCATCTTCCACCCGCTGCCCCCCCACAAACACTCAAGGGTTAATGGCACCAGCAGGTCCGGCACCATCTGTCCCTGCGGTCCCCCTCATCGCATCCATTCACCCAGGCGGGCTGGCTCCCTGCTAAATCCCCAACAGCAGCTCAGCCCCGACAAGTAATGAAAGCAGACAGGGAGGAAGGGCTGAGGAGCCAGCCTGCGGTGTGAGGCTGACACAGACCCGGAGGGGCTGGAGGAGGAGCCTGAGCATCCCCTGGCTGCCCCATCCCGGCCTCACCTGGGACTCGGAAGGGAGGAAGGCAATGTTGATCTCCGTCAGGGTCTTGATGACCTTGGCAGCACGGGACTTCACCAGCTCATTGAAGAGGGCATCGGGGCAGGCTGTGAGGGGAGGGAGAGGAGGAGCTCAGCATCCCTGCATCCTTGCGTGCCTTTAGTGCCAGGGACCTTCCCTCCCCTCTGGTACTCACAGTCAGTGAAGAAGACATGGGCAGCTCTGTACTTGGAGGTGGGGGGATCCTTGAAGTCGTTGATGAGGGAGTGGATGGACTGCAAGAGAGAAGGCACCGGCTGGGCTGGGCACGGGGGTGGCACCAGCATCCTCCCTCCCAGCATGAGGCACGCTCCAAGCCTCTGCTCCATTGCACCATTGGCCTCACTGGAGCCAAGATGCTCCCTATGGGCCCAGCACGGGCATCCCACTGCCTCCCCCAGCCCCATGCTGTGTATTCACCTTCTCAGAGGGGGTGATGAGGTACACGGCCTCCAGGCTGGGCAGCGGCTCCCGGCGCTTGTTGATGTCTTCCACAACTGGAGAGGGGGAAAACAAGGCCCATGGCAGGGATGGGCGAGGGCAGGAGCTGTTGGACATCCCACCACTGCCCTCCCAGCAGTCCCAGCCCCCGGGGCTGTGTGGAGGTACTGGTAAGCAGTGCATTTGTCCGTGTGCTCCCATCCTGCTGCTGCTTTGGGTTATTCTCACATCCCTCACCTGGAGGAGACCGCACGGGGTAGGGGATGCTTCGGTGGTACCCAGGCTGGGGCAAAACCTCCCAGTGCACAGCCTAGGGTGTTCTGCTGCTTTCTGAGTGCTGCAGGGAGCTATTTAGAGGCTGACATAAGATAACACCTTGTCTGGTCCTCAGGCTGAGATACCACCAGGGAATGAGGTGTCTGGGCTCCTCCGGCCCCAGCAGGTAAGGAGGGAGGCTGTGAACCATCAGGCTGGCACTAGGACAGTGGTCAATGAGCAACGGGAGGTAGCGCATCTCCATCCCAAGTGGGATGGGCATGGATGTACTGGCCTGTGCCACCCCAAGGTGTCTCTGGTGGTCCAAGAGGGAGGTTTTGCCCTTCCCGCAGTGAGGTTTGCTGGGCTGGGAGCTGGTTACTCACTTGTTATGCCCTCAGTCATGATGTCGGTCATCTTGCAGCAGGAGGAGAGCATCCGCATGCTGAGCTGGTCCACCACCAGCACCTGCAGAGAGGGCTGTGAGCTGGGGCACAGGGGGCAGCCACAAGCTCCCCTTTCCCATCCCTTCCCCATCTTTGTCCCATTCCTTCCTCATCCCTTGCCCATCCTGGGGGGCTCCCTGCCTGCACCTACTCCCTGCTTCCTCCTCCTCTCCTCTCCCCTCACAGGGGTTGATGCTCACCTTCCATTCTCCCTTCTTCTTCACTTTCCGGATCACATCGTGCATAATCTCTGCAAGGAAAGGAGCACAGGGCAGGGTGAGCACCCCAAGCCCCCCCTGTAGCACCCCAGGGCCCGCTAACAGCAGCATGGGAGGCGCTGAACCCCCAACCCATGGTGAGCCCCACTCCCCAGCACCTTTCCTAGGGATGGGGCAGGAGACGGGGATGGGTTTGGGGTACCCAGGGAGGGATGCTCACCCCCAGCCCTGTTTCTATCTCATGTTTGGCACTAACAGCAGAGCTCACACAAGTGGGGAGCTATGGGTTCACTGTGGGGAGGGGGGGGTCCCACCCCCCCCATGTCTCAGCCCTAATCTGAAGCACCAGGAAAACAACAAGGGCTTAAGAGCTCCTTTTAGAAACAAGACTCAAGCGGCCTCAGCCTGGTCCTTGTAATCCCCCAAATCCCATTTCACCTCCCGCGCTGGCCGGGTTTATGCAACCAACAGGGACAGCAGCAGCCGGGGGTCCCCCCGCACCCCTCGGCCCTATGGCCACCCTGCACCCATACACCATGGGGTGCCGGTGGGGCTGCTCCCTATGGGGTGCAGGTTAAGGCCATGTGAGGAGTGGGGTGCAGTGGGTGCCCCTTGGGGGGCTGGACTGCGGGATAGGGGGTTTCCAGTCACATGCACTGCCAAACATCTGCACTGGGGGGTCCCTGAAGGTCCCTTTTGTACCCCATGTATGAAGCATCACCCCTCGCACAGCAGGGATGTGCTGGGAACTGCCCTGCTGATCCTAAGGGAGAATCTGCATCCGTGTCCTCCCCATGGTGCTTCTCCCTGGCTTTCTGCCCTGGGCCTCTGCTTCCAGGACCAGGGACTGGAATGCCCAGTTAAACCCAGCTAAGGGATGTTTCTATGCTATTAAACACACGTGCTATGTGCAGCCCGCTACTGAGGCGTCACTGCCTTGGCTCCCCCAGTAAAGCTCTTTTTGGGTTTATAAAGTGTCTGCCCCCTTCTTCCAGTCTCTCTGAGGGGGAACAAGTGAGTGGCTGCGTGCTTCTGAGTTACCCCCAGGGATAAACCATGACACAAAGCTTTTGGAGGCAGCCGCTGCACATCATCTCCTTCCCAGTGACGTCTGCCTATGGGATGCTCCAGAAGGATGCTGGCCATCAACCTGGAGTCCTGCCTGCCCTTGGTCACATCCTTTAGCCTTTCCATCGGTAAAGGGGATGGAGATGGGCACAGCTGGGGTGGGAAAAGCTGCTGCACACCCATATGTGCTACCCATCCGAATCCAGGTCATCCACACAGCAAAAACGTGGAACGGGAATTGCTCTCCCCATAGGCAGGAGCCTGGCCCCATCCTGCGCTCTGGTCCTTCGCTGGTGCAGGAGCACAGTCGGGAAGCAGGGATGCCAGCCAGAGCATCCCTCCTCTTCCTTCCATTACTCACATTTGGCTCCTTCCCCGGAGCAAGGCTCCAGGAATAACAGAGCTGTTTACAAGGCAGCTCCCGCCCTCCATCCCACCCCAACAACCTCAACTGCAGACTATGTGGAGTGAAGCACAGGGGCCATGGTGGTGCCCCACTGAGGGTGACCAGGGTCAGGGTCTGGATGCCAAAAGGCTTCCTGCCCCTGTGATGGCTTTGCTCTAGGGCTGGGAGGGGAAGGAAAGAAGGAAGGAGGTTGGGAAAGAGCATCCTGGGGCCCATTGGTGCAAAGGCTCCATTGCTGAAGCAAGGAGGGGACAGCCCAGGACATGGGAGCCCCAGAGGTGTCATGGAAAGGGTGGAATGTGGGAATTCGGGGGTGCAAAGGAGATGGAGAAGGGTGCAGCCTATCCCTGGGGCTGTTCTGGCTCATGTGGCTGCTGGGCAGGATGTGAGCACATGGATGGAGGTACCCAGGCATCACCAAACAAGGACCCTGCATCTGCTGCTGGGTGGGAGATGAGCACATAGGGACGGATGAGGCACCAAGGGCTTGGCCAAGGCCAGATGTGAGAAGATACCAGACCTGTCCTTGAGCGGGGCAGTTCCTAAGCAGCATCCCTGGCACAAGCATATCCAGCCAGGAGAAAGGATGCCAGCACATACCGCGCTGTTGATGTCTTGATGCTATCAAGGATGAGCAATGCCAGGGAAAGCATCCTTAAGCCAATTCTTTATGGCCCCTTCCAACCCTAACCATTCTACGGTCCAATTCCACGCTCAAGAGAAGTTATAGGATCAGCAAGAGACCCTTCCATTCCCTGAGGTCCTCAAGTCAAGCCTGGCCACCTCTTGTGAACCATCAGCCTGGCACCAGGACAGTGGTCCATGATCAACGCGAGGTAGTGCATCTCCATCCCAAGCGGGATGCTCTTGTGTTCCCACATTAGCAGGTCAGATGTTGCTACCAGTGTCCCCAGGTTGTCTGGCCAGCCAGGGCTGTTGGACTCTAGCATCAGTGGGTGATGCTCACGGCCAAGCTTTTCACCTTCACCAGGGGAAAAAATGCATATGTGCATCTCATCCAGTGCCTTCAACACTTGGCTTGTCTGGACCTACCACACTACATCCGATTCCTTCAGGCTGGAATGATTTTAGTTCCAATATCTACCAAGAACAGACAATACAGACAGCTCCAGACTTATCCTCCAATGCAGAGACAACACCAGTGCCTATGGACAAGGAAGCACATCCCATCTGCCAATGGAGGACTGCGACACATGGCACGGAAATGACCCACTGCATCATTTCCAAGCAGGGCCAGAAGGTGGTGACACGGTGGCCTAGTAGGACCTGAGCCTGTACATCACTCCAAGAGGCTTAGCCCATGGTATTTATAGCAAGCTGGCTGGGCAACAGCAGCCAGCCCCATGTCTCCAACTGGTTGTGGGGGCAGAGGAACCAACCCTGCCATCGTCTGTGCCCACACAAAGCCTGTGCTGAGATGGACCCATCTGGGATGCCCCAATCCCGTTATCCTGCTTCAGAAAGAGCCTGGAACCAGTGGTGGAAGCAGTGGAATCACATCCACCAGGAGCACCATGATGGGTGAGGGATGCTGCAGGCAGGGACCACAGGAACCCAGAGTGAAGTTTGCTCAAGACCCACTTCTCTAAAGCTGTCGTGCTGCATCTCCAAGAGGAACATGTTTGGTTTGGGTTGACTTGGCAACTGCTTTTTGCTGGTTCATTAACTAATTGCTTAAGACAGTGTGAATGTTGCATAGACATAACCACAACTGAATGTAGTGGAGCACGGATCTACCTCTGAGCATCCTCAGCAGGGATCTCAAGGTGCCAGCGCTCCATCCTCAAGCAGTCCCCAGTAAACCAGGCTCCATGGAGCAGAGGATGGCAGGAAGGCAGCAACCCCATTGAGGACACAGAGGATAACTTCACTTACAGGAGGCAAAGCCTGGCTGGTGTCCTTCAGTGCAGGTAAGAGCCACCCCACGGGTGATCTGAGTCTGGAGAACACTGTGTCCATAACCCAAGGCTCACATATCTCCCCTGCAGCACTCTGTGTCCTCAACACCTTGCTGGAGGACACGTTCCTCACGTGGGAACCTGACAATGATGCAGCCCAGGTGCCATCCAGCTCCAGTAAGTCCAGAACCACCCAGGCTCAGCTTCACCCTTTCCTCCCCAGCCCTGGATGAGGCGATCTTTGCTATTTTCACCCACATTCCTCCTTTTCCTATTTGCTCTGCTCTTGTGAGGGATGCACCAAAACCATGGGAAACCTGCAGAGCCCAGAGGGGACAACAGGGACGTGGAGGTCTTGAACTCAGTAACACAGCCAGAAGGGAGGAAGGGAAATGGAATGCACGATCACCGCCATGAATGGCTCTCGCTGCCTGCACTGGGGAACTGCAGTGACGTTCACAAGGGTCTCCCTGTGGGACCACTCCTGGCACTGATTCCTCAGGTGTGCACAAGGATGTGGGAGCTGAGCAGGTCTGGGTCGAATCAATGGGGCACAGAGCACATCAGGTCCCCTCTGAAGGCATCACCCTTTAGTTACACTTGTCCTCTTCCACCGGGTGATTCCATCCCTGGGGGATGCTGTACCTGGATGCTTTGTGCCAAGAGGAGCTGCAGCAGGACAGCACACACGGGGTGTCAGTGTCCTGGAGGGGAGGTGACCCCCTCCCAGGGGTAAGTCACCCCTTCCTATGTGTGTGACCATGACTTTCTGAGCTGGCTCTTCTCTGCCTTGAACCAAGAGGGTCCAGCCGATGCGTGGCAAGGTCCGGATGATCTTTGCCACTCGCTTAGGGACACAACTGATGGGCTCCATCAGTGACCCTACAGCACACGTGTGTGTACACGTTCATACGGGAAACACGGAAGCCCCTACGTTAATGCACCTCCGGCTCCATCTATTTTTGCACTCTCCCAAGCACAAGAGCCAAGTCCCTTCCCGCACTGTGAGTTGGTGGACGCAGCATCTGCTTCTCAGCGTGCAACCAGAAGCCATGTGACAGTGATTCTCTTTTTAACCGTGTTGGTTTTGTGGGAAGAGGGAAGGAATCTCTCCTGGGATGCTTTTCCTCAGAGGGGCAGGAGAATCAGACCCTTCTCCCTTCTTTTGAGAGGGAAAGGGTCCGAGTTCCCTTCAACCTTCTTGCACAGGCAGACACCGGTGGGTGGATGCGATGCCAAAGCGAGGTTTGTCATTCCTGGTACCCTGCCATGGTCATGCGTGGACAAGTATCCCTCAGCCCTCCTTCCTTCCCTGCCCTTGGGACTCCCCGGAGCTGGGCACTGGGACAGGGCACAGAGGCCACCATGTGCAGGCAGGAGGATGCAATGTGCATCCCTGCAATGGTCCCACCAGCAGCAGCCAGCCCTGTGCCCTCTGCTGCCTCCTCTCCCTTGTCAGACCTGGCTCCGGGGCAGCACACAAGCCTTGAGCTGGGCATGGAGCATCCTCCATGGGCAGCATCTGTGCCCTTGGCACAGGGGTGGTGGGAGCTATGGGGTGCCCCATGCATCCTGGGGGAGTGACACACCAGCAGGTCCCCATGGCCCCTGCCTGTGCCTCATCCCTGTCCCTGGAGGTGCAGCAACTCCTGCGCAGCTCGGAAGGAGCCTGCATCCACAAGTCATCACGTCCCAATGTGGACCCTCGAGAGGTTCAGATGAGGACACTGGGTGGCACCATGGGTGCTGTGGGCCCATCAGACCTCATCCAGGCAGGATTTAACCATGGGGCTCCCCGGTGGGGCTCTGGCAGGCAGCACTCCAGCACAGGAGGCTGTAGAGCAAGGATGCTCCGTAGGAAGATCAGCTCCTGTCCTGGGGGAAAGGTGTTTTCCTGCTGTCTCCAGAAGGGAGCAGGGTTCTCCCTTATCCCAGGGCTGCTCTGCTGCTCCCATCTGTCCATGGCAGCATCGTGAGCAAAAGGAAGAAGCCCTTGGGGAGGTTTCTCTCCTCTTGCAGGGGCCCGGGGAGGGGTCAGATCCACTGTGGGCATCACTCCAGCTGCGTGTCTTGCACCAGCCCATGGCGGTGGCAGGCACTGTGCAGGTGTCACCCCTGCAGCAGGCCCGGCTTGGTGATGGTTCAGTGAAGTAAAACCCAGCCACCTCCTCCTCCTCCTCCTCCTCTCCACTGCAGGGTGCTGCAGGGGAGCAGGGACCAGCCTGGGCAGGGGAAGCTCAGGGCAAGGAGGCCCTGGGGCAAGAGAGGATGGGGAATGTGAATGCGATGGGGATCAGAGGAAGATGTGGGGATGGGGGGGGCTCAGAACAGGGATCAGCTCCATGCTTGGGTGAGGTTTTGCAAACCAGAACCAGAGCAAAGGGACTGGTTCTCAGTGGGGTCCTTGGGAGGTGGCTGCAGAGGGAGCAGAGGCACAACAGGAGGACGTGGTCCTTGGGCATCGCACTCAGCTCTGACCCCGGCTGAAGGAAAGCAAGTCCTGAAGGGATGCAGCCATCCCTGATGGATGCTGCGGGGGGGCGCAGGGACACCCCCAGCCCGCACCCCATGGCTCTATGGGGGGGACAATCTGGTTCTGCTCATCTCCTGCAACACTCACCCACCTCATCCCCCTTCCCACCTCTCCAGGGGCCTCCAAACCCTGCCGTGTCACCAGCTGGTCAGAGGAATAATCCAGGTCTGGAGGGAAGCCAGGGCAGAATGCAGTGATGGAGGGGGGGCCTGGCAGAGCGAGCCATGGCAACACAGCAGCATCCATCCAGATTTCCCTCCCTCCGTCCATGGGGGAGATACCCTGCCATGGGAGTCAGCCCCAGGCTTGGACCTCTTGCTCCTTAGGAGCATCTTCTGCAGGAAAGCCTTAGGGAATCCCTTTCGAGCAGGCTGGTGCAGTGGGGGAGAGCCGTGTGCCATCCGCATTGGTGCCCAGTGGGGGAGGTCCTGGTACCCTGCTCCTGACTCCAGCTGAAAACAGCACCTCAAGGCAGGACCGGACCCACCAAGGGCAGGAGCTTCCCATGGGAGCCCGAGGAGGGATGGGAGGGCTGGAGCCCGCAGGGTGCTCCTCAGGGGCCCCGTCCCTCACTCCTCTGCAGCATTTTGCCTGCACATCCCTGCTCCCTCCTTCCCAACACCCCCGCTTCCCTGATGCCCGGCTCCCAGTTACCGCTTCCAGTCTGGAATGAGATTTTTCAGGGAAGCACAGAGCAGTTGGTTACCCTGAAGGGAAGGATGGAGGCAGGTTTCCATGATGTGTGTGCGTGTGTGTTGCTCTCCCCCAGCCTATTCCAGCGCAGAGACAATGAATGGAATAAGGGACATGCAGAGGAGCTGGTCCCTGTCCCCTCTATCAGGAGGGCACTGGGAGAACCGGATGGGGCCTGGGAGTGGGTGGGTGGCAGGAGGCGAGGGGACCCCTCCTAAAGCAAACCCAGCAAAGAGCCAACCTCCCCCCTCCCCAAAGCTCATCCTGCAGCAGCGAAACAACCCCTTCCCTCGCCTTTTCCCTTTGGTTTTCCAGCCCGATGGGCTCAAACCCCCAGTGCAGCACCCCGGGGTGCCCATGAGGAGGAAGGAACAGCTCAACCCCCCCATCCTTGGGGCAGGGTGATGCCTGGGAACAAAGCAGGGCCATCCATCCAGGGGGATCCCCCCCCCCCCCTTTCCCATCGCATCACCACCCACCCGATCACACCACCAGCCCCGGCTGCACCATCCGCATCCCCACCGCGGGGATGTCACCCACAGCCACACACATACAACCCCCCCCCCCATCCCAGAATTACACCACAAACACCGCCCCCCCATCCCCCAAAAACACAGGAATCCGGGCCCGGATGCCACGGAAATAAATCCCGCAGGAGGAGCGGGGAGGGACGAGAGCGGCTTTTCATGGCTGCGGGGAGCACGGGGAAGTTTCACCGGTTCCTGCCCTTTTTTCCCTCGGTTTCAGCCCAATTTATGCATAAATACAAACAGGGGGGGCCGCTTTAATTTGCCCTTTGGAAGGGACCCCCCCATTCCCCCCCTGCTTCCAGCCTGGAGCGTTTTGGGAACCCCCCCCTCCTTCCCCCCTCCACCCCCCCCAATGGAGACGTTGCAAACAGCGGCTGCAGGAAGGAAGCGATCGCGGGGCCCGGAACCGCCGCAGGACCGGGACCCGAGGGGCAATGCCCGTGGGAAAGGGGGATTTAGGGGGGGGTAAGGGATTGGGGGGGGCGCACCCCGCCCCCGGGAACAAGGAAGCGGCGCCGCGGCCGGGAAAACACCGATATCCATAAGGAAAACCGCTGGAAGCGGGTTCGCTGCGGACAAAGCGAGAGGCCTGAACCAACGGCCCCCCCCCGGCCCTGCTCAGACCCCCCCCGAGAGGGGGGCGAGCGGCTCTTCCCCATCATGCGATCCCCCCTCGGCCTTTAGGAGCTGGGGGGGGGGGGCAGATTCAGGCGCTTTTCGCTTCCCTCTTCCCCCACCCTCCGTTTTCCACCCCCCCCCCCCTTGTCCCCTCCCCTCGGCACTGCAGAAAAAAACCCCAAACCCCCCAAAATGAATAAAAACGGGAGGGGGGGGGCAGCAAACCCCGATCGCACCGGGCCGCCCTGTCCCCACGTCCTGCCGCCTGCCCCATGGGGTGGGTCCCTTGTGTGCCCCCCCCCAAGGCAACGATGCCGTCCCCGGAGGGCCACACTGCGCACCCGCAATATCCCCCCACCCCCGGTAAAAGGGAGGGGGGGTCCAGAACCCCGTTACTGTGACACCCCCCTCCCTTCCTCCGCGGACCGGACACGGATCTTACTTTCTCCCACCACAGCCTTGAGTCCGATGGGGGCCATGGCTCCGGGGGGGGGTCCGCAGCGGCTGGGGCTGGGGGATGGATATGGGGGGGGGCACCCGCACGCACCGGAGCCGGGCGAGGCTGCGGGTGGCTGCGGCGGGAGGGGGGGGAAGAGCGAGGAGGGGGGGGGAGACCGCGGGGAAAGGGCGGGGCTTAACTGACCGCGCGCGCGGGGGGCGGGACTGCGTCACTTGGCCCCGCCCCTCTCTCGCCGCAGCGGAGCGCCCCCTGGCGCCGGCACAGCGAACAACAACGCGAACCGGGGTGGGGTGAAGAGGGGGAATGGGGAAGGAGGGGATGGGAGCGCATGGAGGGAGATGAGGGGATGTGTCCGGGTGTGTGCGCCATGGAGCACGGGATGGTTTGGGTTGAAGGGACCTCAAAGCTCCTCCAGCTCCAACCCCTGCCACGGGCAGGGACCCCTTCCACTGGAGCAGCTTGCTCCAAGCCCCTGTGTCCAACCTGGCCTTGAACACTGCCAGGGATGGGGCAGCCACAGCTTCTCTGGGCACCCTGTGCCAGCGCCTCAGCACCCTCACAGGGAAGAGCTTCTGCCTAAGAGCTCAGCTCAGTCTCCCCTCGGGCAGGTTCAAGCCATTCCCCTTGGCCTGTCCCTACAGGCCCTTGTCCCAAGCCCCTCTCCAGCTTTCCTGCAGCCCCTTTAGGCACTGGAGCTGCTCTAAGGTCTCCCCTTCAGGAGCCTTCTCTTCTCCAGGCTGCCCCAGCCCAGCTCTCTCAGCCTGGCTCCAGAGCAGAGCTGCTCCAGCCCTCGCAGCATCTCCATGGCCTCCTCTGGACCCTATATCTATATCTATATAGATGTATCTATACTTATATATCTATACCTATGTATCTATAACTGTATATATATCCATATACACAACTTATATTAATTTTTCATATGTATATATGCATGTCTATGTATGCCCCTACAGATATGCTCACCCCATCACTTAGAAATGAAGCAGGATGGGGGGTGCCCGTGGCCACAGGACAGCAAAGGCGAGTCCATGGGGACAGTACTGGGACAAGGTCCCGTGCTCCATCCCAGCCACGCGCACTCCCAGCCGCCCTGCGCTGTGCAGACGTGCGTCTGGATCCTTTGCTGTGAAACCTGTTCTCTCCAATGCTTCCTTTCAGCTCAGCTGGAGTGGAGTTTGTCAGAGCCCTGGACTCGGTGCCAAGCGCAGGCTATAAATACAGCAGCTATTTAAGAGCGAGGTATTTATTTGGCTTTCCCAGCGCCCCGTCAGTCTTCCTGCGAGGACGAGCATCGCTTGTGTGGGGCAAGGATACAGCACATGCAGGGAGCAGGGGCCGTCTGCTGGGGGTCCCATGATGGGGGTCCCTTCCTCAGGGATGCTCGGCCCAGGCACACGGTGGGGATGTGGTTGCCGCTCCCCTCACTCCATTCTGTGCTGGGTTGGTCCAAGTGATGTGAAGTGGGGTCTGGCGGGTGGGAGCTCTGCACGGAGCAGCATTGATGGTGTGGGATGTAACCCTGCCTAAGTGATGGAGGGAGCTGGGATAGGAGACAAGGATGGGTCTCAGGGGCAAGAGGTTGGAGGGAGCTGGTTTCCTGATGGACAAGTTTGAGGCTGTTTGTGGCACTGAGGGGGTGATGGAGGAGACACTTTACTCCTGGGGCCACATCCTGACCCCTCCTTGCTGATCCTCTCCTAAGGCATCTGGGCCTCAGAACGTGTCCCAAAGGAAGGTGGCTGCAGGGCCAGGCATTGCTTTCATCCCCATGAGCGGGGTAAATGGTCCCCAAGTGCTCCTGCTGGAGGCAGTGAGGGTGATGATTGCTCTGGGTGCGAGCAGGGCCCAGGCGTTGTGCTTTGGGTTTTCCCAGCTGTTCCCATTGCTCAGACATGGGCTTCATTTCCTTTCCCCAGTGCAAATGCCACAGCAGTGGCTGCAGTGACCCAGCACCAGGCCTTGTGTGATGTGATCCCTGCCCTGGGTCTGGAAGTGGGGCAGAACCTACAGGTCAGAAGCCCACACTTCACAGTAAGGGGCAGAGCCAGGGCTGCATCCCGGCCTGATCCATGCCAGGAATAACCCCAGAGGCCAGAAGGGTGAGACCATCATTCCCATGTTTATTGGTGTCTGCTGCTCCTTGGGGAAGCTGGCAGAACCTCCAGCCCCCCTGGGCTCCCCACAGCATCCTGCAAGCCTCATTTCCATGCCCCATTCCCATGCACATGCCATTCCCATTCCCATTCCACCCACAACGTGCCCTTTGCCAGTGTCCATTCAAATATCCCATGATCCTGGTGCCAGCACCCCATGCTGGTGCCTGTGCCCATGCCTGTTCCCACACCTCCTGCCCATGCTGGTGCCGCTGTCCAAGGCAGACAGGCTCTTTGCCATGCCCAAGCCATGCTGCTGCCCATTCCTGCACACCCTGCCCATGCCGGTGCCTGTCCCCAGACCCCATGCTGGTGTCCATGCTTGTGCCCATTCCCACTCTCCATGCCATACTGGTAACTGTCCCCAGACCCATGCTATGCCGGTGTCCATGCTGCTTCCCATTCCCATGCTTCACGCCTATGCCAGTGCCCATAGAATCATAGAATAGTTAGGGTTGGAAAGGACCTTAAGATCATCAAGTTCCAACCCCCCTGCCATGGGCAGGGACACCTCGCCCTAAACCATATTACATGCTGATGCTTATGCCAGTGCCCGTTCCCACACCCCATTCCAGTGTCCGTCCCATGCCGGTGTCCATGCCCATGCCATGCTGGCTCCCATTCCCACGGCCCATACCCATGCCCATGCTGTGCGGTGCAGTCAATGCTGTCGCACCCTCCGCAGTCTGCCTGCCTGCAGGCTCCCAGTTATCCCAGTCGCCACCAGCAGAGGGGAATGCTGATCCAGGAGACGGGAATGCTGATCCACAGCATCCTCCTGCTCCACCCGTGCCCGGCTTAGCGCAGCGGCTGCGATCCGCAGCCCCGCGGTGCCCCCCGTGCAGGCGGGTGGGTGCTGACCCATGGAGGGCTGTGCCCCCCCAGTGCTGCCCCACAGCCCCTGGCACCGGCTGCAGGGTCCTTTGCAGGGTCCCCAGGTGCCCCCCGTGCAAAGCAGGGATTTGAGCTGCCCCCTCCATCCCGTTGTGTGGCTGGGGCTGGATGCGCTTCACGGGCTCTGGCTCTGATGCAGGACCAACGGGCTGCAGCAGGTCTGAGCCAGCATTCCCTAATCGCCCTGTTGTGTGGGATCGCTGCTCCGGCACGGCAAATCCCGCTGGAGTCAGCGGGACTGAGGGTGCAACAGCCCATGGGGCACATCCCCACACACAGCACTGCTGATCCAAAGGGACAGGCAGAGCTGCTGCTGCTTTATCAGCACAAGGCGGGTTTACTGCTGCGATCACACGGCTGTTAATGGCACCCATACCGGTTCCGTGGAGGCCAGCAGCTCCAGGGCATGAGCAGGACACGTTCACACCCCTTTGACAGGAGCTTTTCCCTCTTGGCCCTCTCTGACCCCGCACCATAGCAGATCCATGAACAAGGAGGGGTCTTATTCACCTCTGAGGCCTTAGAGGTGAGCCCAGCTGGGTTTGAATGTGCCCATTCCCCATGGATGGGACCCGACCCTGGCTGCCAGGATCACTGCAGGGATGCAAGCATCTCCATCTGCAAAGAACACCCTGAAACCTGCATCTCCTGCCCTAAAGCACCCCCAAAACGATCAGGTTTCCTGGTGATGCAGGGAGGTGGAAACAGATCCTTGTCCCAGGGTCAATGAGAGTGAAAGGAAAACTCCACTGATTGCTCCTTATGACAGAGAAAGGGAAATAAACACCAGGCTGAAAGCTTTCTCCTGCAACATACCCCTGTGTTTAGTGCTTGCAGGAATTCAGCACGTGGTAGGTGATGGAGAACACCGTGTTCTGGGTGCTCTGCAGCTTTGCTGCTGAGAGGTCAGATTTACTCTGTGGTGCTGATGGCTGGGGTGATGCGTGGGTACCAAATCCAGAGGGACCAGCTGAAGCGGCAGATTCCGTTTGGCTGCTGTAAGCATGGAAATACTCGAAGGAATAAGCTTCTTATTCTTAAATGCTCCCTCACATACATGGATTGAGGCATCGAGAGCGACCAGGAGATGTGCTGGGTCCCCAGGATGGTGAAGGAGAGGTTTGAAGTACTCTGCTCATCATGGTGGATTTGTGCACCTGGAATGGTTCGGGTTGGAAGGGACCTTAAGGATCACCCGGGTCCAACCCCTGCCATGGGCTTGAGTCCAGAGGAGGCCATGGAGATGCTGCGAGGGCTGGAGCAGCTCTGCTCTGGAGCCAGGCTGAGAGAGCTGGGCTGGGGCAGCCTGGAGAAGAGAAGGCTCCTGAAGGGGAGACCTTAGAGCAGCTCCAGTGCCTAAAGGGGCTGCAGGAAAGCTGGAGAGGGGCTTGGGACAAGGGCCTGTAGGGACAGGCCAAGGGGAATGGCTTGAACCTGCCAGAGGGGAGACTGAGCTGAGCTCTTAGGCAGAAGCTCTTCCCTGTGAGGGTGCTGAGGCGCTGGCACAGGGTGCCCAGAGAAGCTGTGGCTGCCCCATGCTCAGTGTGCAGTGCTCCTGTGCTGACAGGGGTTGTTTAGGATTGGCTTAGCAAAGCTAAGGCTTATGCCATGTACTTGGTCTGGTTAGCAGGGCTGTGTGCAGTGCCTGAAGCATACTCCAGACAGTGCTTCTTTCAAAGGAATGATGCTTGGTTTCTGATTGTGAAGTTGGTACCATGGGTGGCTATTCCCTGTTTTGTTGTTTTTCTTCATTTGAGGGAGGTGGATGCATGTCCCCCACCTATAAAATGCCCTCGCCCCACTAGGGCTGACTTCTGAATGAATTCAGAGCCAGACTCCTCTGGGATCAGTGTTCAAAAGCCTCTGATGGAAAGATTTTCTATTTTCAAGGAGATTTTGCTGTAGCTCAAATTCCCAGGGGAATATCTTGGTCTCAGCAGTGTTTTGGCCAGGAAAACAACCTGCAAACAAGCCCAGTGCTCAGGGAAAAGCCTTCCGATGGGCACTGCACAGAGAAAAAGGTAAATCACAGAATCCCAGCCTGGTTTGGGTTGGAAGGGACCTTAAAGCTCACCCAG